CCACACGTGATTCTGAGGACGAGAGGCTAAAACTGACGCTGAGGAACGCCTGAGTTGGGACTGAAACTGGCTCAACCCCACAATGAAAGAACTGCATGTCGTTTGATCTTTAACAGGTGGGGCCCTGCAGAGCCCCTGTCCTAGCCCGGTCTCCCCTGCCTTGTGCACGCTCAGGTTTCGTGCCCCGGAGGTGTGATAAACACCTGACACGAACAGCTCCTGCTCCCGGCGGCAGCTGGCAGTGTGGCGTGGGAGATGTGTCCTAGGGACCAGCAGCCAAGAGCATGACCTTGGCAGACCGCAATCAAGGTCTACTGCAGGTGGAGAACAAGGAATAGTGTTGGGAAAGGTGCCCGCTGCTCATGGGACGTGTACAGCTTCAAAACAAAACCCCCATAGCTTAAAAAGCTGAGGTTTCTCCCTGGGGAGAAATGGTTGTCTGTACTTGGCTACGATACAATTTTTTAAATGGTTACTGCTTTCCAAAAAACAGTAAGGAATGTACAGATTACTCTCCAGATGTGGCCTGAAACAGTACCTATGAGGCATTTCATCTTTCAGACATAGCAGAACAGAGTGGGAGTTGCTATTAGTTGTAAATTCTGGAGTGAGAGCATCACACAGAGGCACAGGAAGGAGGCTGTGGGGTGCTCCTGTGGGGCATGGAGACCCAGAAGGAAACAAAGGGTTAACCAAAAATGCAGATGACACTTATATAAGGCTGCACCAGCTGCCACAGCACAGTACCACAGGCTGGGTAAACAGAAGTTTATTTCACATAGTTCTGGAGGCTGGAATTCAAAGATCAAGGCTCAGGCTGATGAGGTTCCAGGTTAGGACCCCCTTCCTGGTTTGCAGATGACACCTAACTGTTGTATCTTCACACAGCTGAGGGACAGAGAGATCTGGTGTCTCTTCTTCTCCTTATAAGGACACCTGTCCTATTGGATCAGGGCCCCACCCTTATGACATTATTTAACCTTAATTACCTCCTCAAGAGTCCTTTTTCCAAATACAGTCATACTGGGGGTTATGACTTCCACATATGAATTTGGGGGGACATATTTAGTCCATAGCAACATTTTTCTGCTCACTCATTTTTTTGCAAAACAATGATTGGTTATCTATGGCAGACTCTGCATCCTCTTTTGGGGGGAGACAATGGAGATGCCACTCAGCCTCTCCCTCAGACGTCACTGACAACAGGAGGAAGAGACAGCATGCCCAGGATGTAGGCCACTGTGATGGGGAAAGGGGAGGGATGGGGCATCTGGGAGGCACCCAGCCAGTGTTAG